CGATCCCTTTGTGCTCGTGCTGAAACCCCAACTAGCTTAGTTGAGGGCAAATCTTTAGATGAGCATGCTTGTTATGTGCGACACCGTATATCTGAAAAAGGGAAACTTTTACTGGATCAAATTCATCGTTTGCAATGCTATGCTTGGAATTTATGTGAAATATATGATATTACTTGTTGTTCTGAAAACCCTAAGAAACACCTTCCCTACCAATGTGAGTTTAGTGATAATGGAATCATATCTTCGTATGCTAAGGGTGTTTATAATTACTATGATGTTCAACAAATTGAATAATTTGTTGCTTTTAAGGGTGCTTATGGAATTGCTTCTTTGATTGAAAAGTAGGACGCCACTCTTTACAAATCTGAAAATTTTGCCATACTTGAATATTGTTATGATAATTATGCTTATAATGCCTATGTTAAACCATCTATTGAGCACTACTCCGCTGTCCAAGAAGAGACTAATATTTTGCAGGAAGCTATGGAAGAAGAAATTGATGAAAATATGAGCTCATTGGATGAAAAAGATGAGGGGGGAGAGTGAAGAACAAAAGGAGGAAGAGCGGATTGATCACCCATGCCCACCTTCTAATGAGAGTAACTATTCAACTCATACATTGTTTAAATTCCCTTGGTGCTTACCGAAGGATGATAGCTATGATGATTGTTATGATCCCTTTAATTCGTATGAAATATCCCTTTTTGATGATGCTTGCTATTCTTGTAGCCAAGATGCCAATATGAATGATGCTTATGGAGATGAACTTGCTATAGTTCCTTATGTTAAACATGAAATTGTTGCTATTGCACCCACGCATGATAGTCCTATTATCTTTTTGAATTCTCCAAACTACACTATATTGGAGAAGTTTGTGCTTATTAAGGATTATGTTGATGGGTTGCATTTTACCACCGCACATGATGATTTTGCTATATATAATATGCATGTGCTTGCTGCTCCAACTTGCAATTATTATGAGAGAGGAACTATATCTTCACCTCTATATGTTTCCAATATGATAAAATTGCAAGAAACTGTTTATACTATGCATTGGCCTTTAAATTGTGTGCATGAACTGTTCTTTTATGACATGCCGATGCATAGGAAGAGAGTTAGACTTTGTTGTTGCTTGATATATGTTACTTTGTGCTCACTACTAAATTACAAATCATTGTTAATTAAAATTGGCTTTGATATACCTTGGGATCCGGGTGGATCCATTACTTGAGCACGATATGCCTAGCTTAATGGCTTTAAAGAAAGCGCTGCCAGTGAGACAACTCGGAAGTTTTAGAGAGTCATTTATTTCTGTTGAGTGCTTTCATATAGTTTAAAAACATAAAAATAAAGAGGGGAACCCAAAAACTTTTCAAAAAGGAAAGTGAAAGTGAGAGAGACAAGCATTGTTGAAGTGGGAGAGCTCCTTGAACTTTGTTCATGCTCACGGAAACTTTGTGAATCTTAATTATAGAAACTTTTCATCAAAAATAATTATCTCCCTGTACAATTCCATTGTATCATAAAAATAATGTGCCAAGGTTTGCCTTTAGGAAGTTTACAATGCTTGTTGGTTTGTACGATGCAGGACAGAAACTTTGGCTGTAGTGCGCGGATTTACATTTTTACTGGAATGCCAAACGATTCTGATACTTTTTGCACTATGTTGTTGTAAAAATTGTTTATTTTTCCTAATTTTGGTAGAATTTTTGGGGTACTAGAAGTATGGTGAATGTTCAGATTGCTACAGACTGTTCTGTTTTTGACAGATTCTGTTTTTGATGCATAGTTTGTTGATAACCCACAAGTGTAGGGGATCACAACAGCTTTCGAGGGTGAAGTACAACCCAAATTTATTGATTCGACACAAGGGGAGCCAAAGAATATTCTTGAGTATTAGCAATTGAGTTGTCAATTCAACCACACCTGGATAACTTAGTATCTGTAGCAAAGTATTTAGTAGCAAGAGTGGTCTGATAGTAATGGTAACAGTGGCAACAGAAAAGGTAAATGTTTTTGGGTTTTTGTAGTAGTTGTAACAGTAGCAACGAAAAAGTAAATAATTGAAGAACAATATGTGAAAAGCTCGTAGGCAATGGATCAGTGATGGACAATTATGCTGGATGCGATTCCTCATGCAATAGTTATAACATAGGGTGATATAGAACTAGCTCCAATTCATCAATGTAATGTAGGCATGTATTCCGTAAATAGTCATACATGCTTATGGAAAAGAACTTGCATGACATCTTTTGTCCTACCCTCCCGTTGCAGCGGGGTCCTAGTGGAAACGGGATATTAAGGCCTCCTTTTAGTAGAGAACCGGACCAAAGCATTAACACATAGTGAATACATGAACTCCTCAAACTACGGTCATCATCGAGAAGTATCCCGATTATTGTCACTTAGGGGTTGTCGGATCATAACACATAATAGGTGACTATAGACTTGCAAGATAGGATCAAGAACACACATATATTCATGAAAACATAATAGGTTCAGATCTGAAATCATGGCACTCGGGCCCTAGTGACAAGCATTAAGCATAGCAAAGTCATAGCAACATCAATCTCAGAACATAGTGGATACTAGGGATCAAACCCTAACAAAACTAACTTGATTACATGGTAAATCTCATCCAAACCATCACCGTCCAGCAAGCCTACGATGGAATTACTCACGCACGGCGGTGAGCATCATGAAATTGGTGATGGAGGATTGTTGATGATATCGGCAGCGACGAATCCCCCTCTCCGGAGCCCCGAACGGACTCCAGATCGGCCCTCCCAAGAGAGATTAGGGCTTGGCGGCGGCTCCGTGTCATGAAATGCGATGAAACTTTCTCCTTGATTTTTTTCTCCCCGATACGGTATATATGGAGTTGGAGTTGAGGTCGGAGGAGGTCCCGGGGGCCCACGAGATAGGAGGGCGCGCCCCTAGAAGGGGCGTGCCCCTAGGGAGGGGGCGCGCCCCCCCTATCTCGTGGACAGCCCGTGGGCCCCCTGGCCTTGATTCTTTCGCCAAAATTTCTTATTAATTCTGAAAAGTGCCTCCGTGGATTTCCAGGACATTCCGAGAACTTTTATTTTCTACACATAAAACAACATGATGGTAGTTCTGCTGAAAACAGCGTCAGTCCGGGTTAGTTTCATTCAAATCATGCAAGTTAGAGTCCAAAAGAAGGGCAAAAGTGTTTGGATAAGTAGATACGTCGGAGACGTATCAACTCCCCCAAGCTTAAACCTTTGCTTGTCCTCAAGCAATTCAGTTGACAAACTGAAAGTGATAAACAAAAACTTTTACAAACTCTGTTTGCTCTTGTTGTTGTAAACATGAAAAGCCAGCATTCAAGTTTCAGCAAATATTATGAACAATAACACACAGGTCTCACAATTAGTCATATCAATAGCATAATCAGCTAGTGAGTCATAATAATAAAACTCGGATGACAACACTTTCTCAAAATAATCTAACATGATATAACAAAATGGTATCTCGCTAGCCATTTCTGAGACCGCAAAACATAAATGCAGAGCACCTTTAAAGATCAAGGACTGACTAAACATTCTAATTCATGGTAAAAGAGATCCAGTCAAGTCATACCCAATATAAGTCAATAATAATGAATGCAAATGACAATGTGCTCTCCAGCTGGTGCTTTTAATAAGGAGGGTGATGACTCAACATAAAAGTAAATAGATAGGCCCTTCACAGAGGGAAGCAGGGATTTGTAGAGGTGCGAAAGCTAGATTTTAAAATAGAGATTGAATAACATTTTGAGCGGCATACTTTCGCTGTCAACGCAACAACTATGAGATGGCTGTATCTTCCATACTACATGCATTATAGGCAGTTCCCAAACAGAATGGTAAAGGTTTATACTCCCCCAACCACCAACAAGCATCAATCCATGGCTTGCTCGAAACAACGAGTGCCTCCAACATACAACAGCCCTGGGGGAGTTTTGTTTAATTATTTTGATTTGCTTTGATCTTTTTGGATCATGGGACTGGGCATCCCGGTTACCGGCCCTTTCTCGTGAATGAGGAGCGGAGTCCACTCCTCTGAGAATAACACACCCAACATGGAAGATATAGGCATCCCTAGTTGTAACATGAGCTGCTCGAGCATGCAAAACAAAATTTCATTTGAAGGTTTGGAGTTTGGCACATACAAATTTACTTGGAACGGCAGGTAGATACCGCATATAGGAAGGTATAGTGGACTCATATGGAACAACTTTGGGGTTTAAGGAGTTTGGGTGCACAAGTAGTATTCCCGCTTAGTAAGGTGAAGGCTAGCAAAAGACTGGGAAGCGACCAACTAAGAGAGCGACAACAGTCGTAAGCATGCATTAAAATTAATTCACACCGGATACAAGCATGAGTAGGATATAATCCACCATGAACATAAATATCATGAAGGCTATGTTGATTTGATTCAACTACATGTGTGAACATGTGCCAAGTCGAGTCACTTAATACATTCAAAGGAGGATAACATCCCATCATACCACATCATAATCATTCTAATAGAATGTTGGCACACAAGGTAAACCATTATAACTCATAGCTAATCAAGCATGGCACAAGCAACTATAATCTCTAAATGTCATTCCAAATATGTTTACTTCATAATAGCTGACTCAGGAACGATGAATCATCATATTTACAAAAACAAGAGAGGTCGAGTTCATACCAGCTTTTCTCATCCCAATAAGTCCATTGTATATCGTCATTATTGACTTTCACTCACACGACCGAACGAAGTGTATCTCTACTCCTAATGTCTCAGTTGGTAGGTCGCATTCCGGGTTTTATTTTCGTCCCACCATTTTCGTCCGGTTTTTTTTTCGTCCCACCCTCCACTGGTTTTTTTCGTAGGTTTTTTTTCGGAGGTTTTTTCCTCCGCTCCTCTCGATCCCTAGAACTCCCAGAGTAGACGCCGCCGCCCGCCCCTTCCAGCCCCCACCCCCCAGCCCTAGCCGCAACCCCAACCCCATGGAGATCGAGATCAAGCTCCGTCTCCCTGACGCGGCTGCACATCGGCGCCTCTCCTCCTTCTTCACGCCCCGCCTGCTCCGCACCGACGCCCCCGCGCGGCCCCTCGCCACCGCCGCCGCCGCCACCGCCGCCCAGCGGGATGTTCGCCTCTACGGCACCGATGACCGCGACCCCTCCTGCGCCGTCCTCACGCTCAAGCACCCCCCGCGCATCTACGCTGGCGACAGCCGCATTGAGGAGGTCGTGGAGCCCCTCGACCCCGCCCTCGCCCTCACCTGCGTCGACAACCCCGCCCGTCTCGGTGCGGTCGACTCTCCCATCGTCTGGCTCGTCTCCTATGAGTACGGCGTCGGCGGGGACAAAGCGCCGTTCGTCTGCCTCGGCGGCTTCCGGAACACCCGCGGTGTGTATGAGCTCGAGGAGGGCGAGGGGCAGGGGCTCGTGCTAGAGCTCGATGAGACACACTTCGATTTCGGCACAAACTACGAGCTGGAGTGCGAGACCGCGGAGCCCGACCAGGCCAAGGAGGTCCTGGAGCGGCTGATCACTGTGGTTGGGGTGCCGTATCAGTACTCCCGGAGCAATAAGTTCGCGTGCTTCATGGCCGGGAAGCTGCTTCTGTGACTAGGTTTGTGGTTGGTCTTTACCGTGTCCCAAATGATGATTAAACCGTGGTTGCTATAAAACTTGTGTTTCATTAGCACTTTCTTGCGACAATAGGCTTGTTCTGTGGCGAGTGATTTCAAATCTCACGAATGTAATGTTTAGTTCTGTTACATTCTGGTATTTGATAACTTTCATCCAAGAATACTATCTTGGGTGGCAGCATAGCAACACAAGGGTTTGCATTTCAGTCCTCGTAAAAAATCTTGTCCTGGAGCATGATCCGACAACCGCTGGGAAGAAGCCGGGGCTGGTATGTCTGGTTGGGGAGAGAAATAAATTTCATCTCTCGGGTCCATTTATATACAGGACATACAATCTACTCCCTTTGTTTTTAAATATAAACCTTTTTAGAGATTTCAGTACGGACTACATTCGGATGTATATAGACGTATTTTAGAGTATAGTTTCACTCATTTTGCTTTGTATGTAGTCCACATTAGAATATCTAAAAGGGCTTATATTTAGGAACGGAGGGAGTAGCTAGGAACAAACTGAATTTCGTATGTCCGCCACATGGTTATGGGCAATGAGCCTGTTATTGCAGTCTCACCACACCACATCTTGTTCTGCTCTCTGGTGCAGATGGGCATCCTTAGATTCACCACCTCCCTGATGAGCTGCTTCTTGTCTTAACCCACCTCCCTGATGAGCTGCTTCTTGGTCTCAGGCATACACGGTCATCGTTGGTATCTAAGTTGCCACCTGACAAATCTGTTCTTATTTCTTATTAGGTACCTGAAAGGCTGAACCTGATCTTTGATGAACTAGAAGGCCAAGATACCAAGGTATGCCTGAGTTTATAGCTTGATTCCTTACCATATAATTTCTGAAACATGCAGTGACACATGATTAACCTTTGTACTTTATACTTTGCTAAAACATTTAGGACTCGAGTGGGCGACTCCAAGAATGGGTACTCCTGAAACTTTAGCCAGTGGCCATGTTGATGGTATTTTTTGGGAACATGGGAGGGCGTGTGTTATTGTTCAAACCAGGCGCCTGAATTTTTTTAATCTTTAGCCAGTGACCACATTGCTGCCCTAAGCGATGAACAGGGCAGGGCGTGTAGTATTGCAGTTAACTATGTGTCATATGGTCATCATAGTGATTGGTAGATTAAAACCGTAAGCCACCTCTGAATTCTTATCGAAGGTAGTTCACCAAGATCTGCGGTTTTTATTTGCATTTTATAAGTTTTAGTGTTTCATGTTACTGCTTTAAATACCTAATTATGGTTTCATCTTCCCTTTTTGGTGCTAGTCATGCGAGCTAGTCTTTTTCTGCTTGGATCCCCAGGTTGTGGGAAAACACTAATGACAATTTATTTTGAGATTGCCATATTCTTTCTACCTAATTTGTGTTCTGTATAAACTGTACAATGTTTCCTTTTCTGGAACTTTAGGGGCCTGATCAATTGAACAAGTATATTGTGGAGAGCGAATCAGAAGTAAGGAAAATATGAACCCGTGCAAGCACTAACTCACCATACATCCTATTTTTTTGAGGTAAATTTTTATGTTTAGCTAATTGCGTGTGTGGATTTATTCCTTCGGGAACACTTGGTAGTTACTTTGTACAATTATGAATGCATGGTACATCTGTCATGTGATTTATAAATGTGCAACGCGTGGAATTAAATTGTTTGACCTTGCCTTCCTTGTTTAGGTAAAACTAAGTAGTTGTGGCAGCTTTGGATGAGAGAACCCAATTCCTGGTAAATTGGACACCATCAATGAGTTCGTCGAGTTTGATTGAACTCTCACACTTTGAACATGCTCTATTTAAAGCAAGGCCATCCCTGTCATAACAGGTACAGTAAAATGCCAACACATATATGATTGATGTTATGGCACTATACTTGACTTTGGGGATGACGAGATCGACAAAAGCAACATGAGCCCACGACTCATGAGTTCAGCGGCGTCTGCACGCCCTACATGTAGTTGTGCACCTCCTCCTCCTGTTTTCTTGCATGTGATCAATGGTTTCAGATCTCTATTTATCACGGATTAGAAAATATATTCTGTAACAAATCTTTCCTACATTTGGTGGATTATTGCATTTGTATTTTTTATTGTTATCATCTAGAATATTATATTCTGTATGAATGCTTTTAACAATGCTTCATCAGGCTGTTCCCGCCGATGCTGCCGTTCATGTCGTCCCCCCAGTGCCTAGCATCACCGGCAACTAGTTCAGCGCTGTCCGACAAGGTGTCCTGCAGGGACAACCTCCGTCGACCTGTCATCGAACTTCAGCATGCGTGCTTTGTTCTTTGAAACTGAATTCAGACTTTGAATACTACTTTTATTTGAAAGAAAATATGTGCGTGATTCCACAACTTATGCCGAAATGCATAGCATAGCTTGGTATACACGAATTGCAATCTGAACATTTTTCTCTCTGTCGTCGTCCTGCTTTCTGGTTCTCTGTTATTTGTCATCTTATATCTATGCTTTCTGCTTTCTGGTGCCTAAACCGAACCGTAGAATCTGTAAATATGTACCAGTACTAGTTTGAACCAGGGGATGGTTGGTTGTTTATGTGTGCTGTTAATGAGTTCATTCTGCTCTCTAACTCATTGAATTTTTGGATGTCAATCAACAAGCTTCCCCTGACTGACTGATTGATTGATTGATTTTTGGCCGGTGCTAGCTTGTGAGTCTTGTGTCAGGCGAGGGAGAGGGACGATGTGCATATGGGGTTGCAGTGTAGAGGCGCCGGTGGTTTCAAGTTGCAGGGCCGGGAGGTGAGGGAGCACAATGACAACAACACTACGTCTCCCTTCTCTCTGTTATCTCTCTTTGTAATGAATTGTCCCCTCTTTGTTGCAGAAATTTCACGGCAACCAGGAGTAACAATATTTTTGGTTACTTGGGAATAGGTTGATGTTCTGGTGACATGGAACATGCTGAGATTTGGACTTCAATCCTTGATTGTGCACGGGCATGCATGCTTCACGCCCATGCTGCAAATAGATTTTCATTTTTGAAGAAAGTAATAATACTATAACTACAAAATTCACGTTGCAGATTTATGCTCCATGTAGTATACTGGCCCATTATAGCTTTATTCAGTTCACCGTTTGCACCATCATGTTCTGGAGTTTGAAATGTACTCCCTTTTTCTGTAGGGATTTCCGAAATGAGTAGAAGACTAATAACTTCTACGACATCAAAGATCTCTGAGATTTTAGAGTATGCACCATATTGATTTACTTATCGATTTATTCACACATATATTGAGTTCATGATGGAAAGATATACGAGTATTTTCATTGTATGGAATTTTTTAATTACTACCAGATGGAATTTGGGAATTAGTTTTACAAAGCTTCCAAAATCACTAAAGTTATACAGCTACTACAGAACTGGTTAAAGTTAGTGATGTTCTATAATATCTACATGACTGATTACAACACTGCTCATGTGATTTGGTACTTTACTATATGGTAGCTTGTTTTACCCATGAGGCGAGCTAATGATTGGGAACTTATAGTGCCAAACTGACCTGCATATTCTGTCAAACATTTTGTTGCAGTATTTAGGATCAGCATGGAAGCTGAATTTGTCACCTGATGTTGTTTAATTCTGTGCTACTAAATTCATTGGTTGACAAGCCTTAAAACTATCTGTAATAGCATACCTTGTTTTCAACATCATTGGCTTGTTTAGAATGCTAAACTGAAGAACTGAAGTACTGAACAAAACAATACAGAAGTCAGTAAAAAGTGCTTAAGAGGAATTTTTGGTCTGCAGTCTGTACTAAAAAACTCTTGTGGTCATTCGTTTTGACCTGATCCAAGGCAAGGCCTATCAGTGTTAACTCCCAAGCTGTAAAAATTGAATTGATGATTGCATACTTTCGTGTGGATTTTTTATGTGCATGCACGGTAACCATTCATTTGTGTCTTTCATCATCAGATCAAACGGCAAGTTTATTGTCTGAGTAATTAGAGGTTTATATTTTGGAATGAAATTTCTGAATTTTTGCTATCCCGCTGGTCCTTACTAATTCAGTATATACTAGAATTTGAAGTTGTGATCATCCATTGTTCTACTATGGAGACTAGGATAAATGATTGCAGTTGCAGGGCAGACGCCGTTGCTGAACACAAACGGGGCTCGGAGCAGGCCAAACTCCGAGGTGGACCGGGCAACGGATCGTGGAGAGGCGCCCAAGGATTTTTTTTGCTTCTGTTGATTGTGCCATCCAATTGGTTTAGACTTTTCACCATTGCTAATTACTAGGGGAGTATGGGTGCCAGACCTAGTAAGTGGCCTTCACGCTACGCTCTTGCCAAATAATTTGCAACCATGCTTGCACTGAATTTTTATTTATTTCCCGATGTACCTTACAACAACTTCGTGATGTAGCACTACTTTGCACTATCATGCACCTGCATATATAATATGGAAAATGACTGTCATTTAGAATTACTTCCAAGCTACATCGTCTATCTGAATGTCAGCCCGAAACCACTGGTTGGCACACATAAAATTTTGGAAGTTGTATGTAGTCCTCCTTCTTTGAGCCAAAATTTATGTCTATGATTGATGAATCAATATAATTTTTTTGTTCAAGCTGGATCCAATAGAAGATGGCTTTGGTGGTAGTCAGTACATGTAGAATTTCTATCCTTCTATATGTGTACTGAAACTATTTAAGGTCACTATGTAGTAAATTCATCATACTATGTGTCCACGGAAACCACTTAAGGTCAAAAGTGACAAGTAGAACCACATGCATCGTTTTGGGTAGTCTAACTTGACTCTATTACTTTTATCTCATAAATCTATGATCGGTGCTTTTTTTACATGGAATATATTCTGGAGCGGTTGCTGGTGTTAGGGATGCATTTATATATGGGATAATTGCATTAGCTATTTCATACGATTTGCATGCAAGGATTTTTCTTCTTTAGTATAACTCTCTGTATTTTTATTGTTTCTTTTATT